CCAGAAATCGAACAATAGTCTGATAATAAAACAGTCAAGTAATATTCAGTGAAGAAGAGTGCTAAAACCAGTTTCTAGAATATGACAAATGGCAGAAAAATTCGATCGGTCTATTTTGCATAGAAAAAATCAACAGTGGTGTGATCTAATAATCATTTGGATTTCCACACTTTCTAATAGACTGACGTAATTTGTACACGTGGTCCGCATGAGTAAAAACTTGATGCTTACCATCCTGGCCGATAATCATACTGTTTCTGAAGCTTATGCAGTTATTTTATTCATTCTCATTGTTGAAGTTGTCACTTATAAGGATTGAGGAGATTTACTTTTGGACGTTGTTTGATATCGGCCATCATCAGAGACCCACGCAGTCCAACTCAGATCAAAGAGTAGAATCAGTTCAACAATTCATATTCAGTATTAATAACCGACAAAAAATTGTGTGTAAATAAATAATGCAGTATCACTAGGTGCTATATCAAACAAGTTACCATTTTACAGGAAGGTACCCATGTAATGTGGTTTCTTGACACCAGAATGCATTTAGATCAGATCACATTGAATAGAAATGCTTGGAATCTATGAGAGGAGTTAAAGTGGAAGTGGACTTTTCAAAATGTTACCTGACAAGTCTTGATGAAAATCTCCAAGTTATACCAACCAGCTATTCAGAGTCCCCTTCTTTTCAGAGGCTAAATGGTATCAGCCAGTATTGTATATAACGTACAGTATGAAAATCGGTAAACTTATTAGTGAGTTCAATGAAATTAATCTAGCAAATACTAAGAATTGTTAAGACATTGGAAGAGAGCAATGCAGCATCAGATCCGTCCAACCTACTTCACTGCTTTCAGCCTTACTGAAGTGCAGAAGCATTACATGACAATAGTGTACAAGTGACTAAGAAACAAACATTATTTGTGCATATCTGCACACGTATAGAATCGCTCTATGACAATAATAAAAAAGCTTTTATGACTGTGTGCACCAGAAAAAATTATTGCAGTCGTACAAAAACAAAAATATTACTGCGACCGCCTACAGCTCACGATTCGGATTTCAATTCAGCCAGCTTTTAGTTAGTCAAACCAAATCAAACAATTTTTAGATGCTTATTTGAAAGACAAACATTTAACTTCTAAATAAAAGTGAAAACACCCACTTCCTTTCTTTACCATAAGACGCAAACCTGTATTCGTTGATATTTAAATGAACTCTAACAGTGTTTTCAGAAGCTTTAAACAAATAAATCGTAACCAGTTGGGTCCATTCGGGAGTAAGCACATATATTCGTGGAGAACACTGACTGGTGGTCGTGATAAAGTAACGAATTGTTGGAAGTCAGAGTACACGGGCTGGCCATTGAGTCGCGTCCCAGTGATTGAATGGTCTGTGGCCTTGTCTTGGAACTGGAAGGTCCTGGCCTAGAAGCCGGGTGAGTCCCGAAACGGGATGGAGCAGCTTTCGAGTACTTCCTGGTCTTCAGTGGTTCAATAACTCATATTAATCCGTGATCGGACTTGGAACAAATCTTTTTTACTTGTTTATGAATACACTATGGTGGCATTGCATTGGTTAGTTTTGTGGATTAACTGGATCCTCGACTAAATATCATGAGAAAAAGACAGTCACTGAAATGACAATCTATAGAGCGAATGTATTTGGATAACTGATTCACTTGGTTTACCTACACATCTTATGAGCTTATTTAATTTCTGAATATCTTTGGGAAAATAAAGACCCTGTTTAACACAAGGTTATTCGAAAAATCACAAAGTCATATAGCTTAATTCAGCGATAACAGTTTATTGCATATAGTCAAGTCAGTATAGTCACGAAACATTAGCCCATGTTATTTGATCTTTAATGTTAATGGAACGCCTAATATGTGTGCAATTACCAATGCATTATTTCTGTTACATATGTCACGTATGAAATGAGCAAAGATTCAGGGAATAATATTTGTTTTCACCTAACCACATCAGCATTTAGTGCTGAGGTACATTTGTAGAAGCTTCACATTATTCATTAGAAAGCCTGTCTTTTTTCTATCCAGGCTACCTATCCTAGTCAACTTTATTAATCTGAACGCATTTAAATTATCAAGGTCTAAAAATCCTACTGATAAAAGTCAATTAGTGTGACTTGTACATCTTGATGAATGACTGACGAGTTAACAGAGGATTTTTCACAAAAAAGAATAATTTTAAACTACTATACTTTGAAAATGCACGTATAAACTTAGACAGCGGAAATATTATCTACTGCGTGGAAAATGCAACAGTTTAGTGAGAATTGTCGAAAAATGCTCAGAATTCTACTAATTAGAAGTAAAGAGCTCTACACAGTTTAGAACCACTTTTAGACATGTCGTTAGAAATCTCCATCCATTAATCCATAACATCCGAGCCATCTGATCTATATATTATATAATTATCTCTTTTACTTGTTTATTTGAAGCATTAAGAAGATGTAATTTGTCTGAATCGTATAATTTATTCGCACAACACATTTAAAACAATCTGATCATACACGGACATGTCAATGGAATATATTTGAAATTAACACAGAGTTAAGAGGTGAGAATATAGATTCAACGCAAGTTAAAAAGACATACTGAAGGTCGAAATATGAATGAAGATCATTGAACAAAATAACAGAGGTAATAGTGCATCTACCCTGGATTGTATCCAAACAAAGTTTACCAAGGAAGGTTTAGTGTTATGAAGAGCTGTTTTTGAACACATAAAGGTGGTTCAAAATTTCTTATTGCCAGTTAGGGCATCCATAAAGCTTAGGATACGCCCCAAACAAGTTTTATTGGTGGGTTTAAATGATGTGTAAACGTCAATTTTATATTCTGTAACTATAATATGTTTCGCAATAGAGGATGGAGATATCGTATTCTCACCATTAATGGGTTCTGAAGATTCTTTTTGCTTCTGGAGCCACTTAGGAATATTCTCTGAAGCTCTTACTTGCAGAGATCGACGAGTCTTCCCTATGTATGTGGGTCAACACGTACATTCAAATTGGTAAATGCAGTGGGATGTGACATCATTTTTCGCATGTTCTAAGGGCTTAGATGGATATATTGGCTTCACATTGTCAATTATTATTATAGAAAAGTCTTTTAACAGCAGCGTTCAATCTTTGTCTAGTTATCAAGCTGCTATGATGCCCCATACAAGGTAGCTTGATGTACACGTCTTTCTTAGGTGCGAGTTGAAGAGTGAGCCTTGATGTTCTGACTAATTTATACTTCCTGATGAACTTGTCTGGATAGCTGTTATCAATCACAGTTTGTGTCAACTTTCTTTCTTCTTCATCAAGTGTGTCTTCAGTGCATATTTGTTGGATTCTACTGTAGAATCACCTTACTAAGGTCCTTTTGTACCGAACAGAGCAGAAACTGCGGTAATTAAGATACTGTCCTGTCCAGGTAGGTTTCCAGTAAATAGATTGTTTTATTGATCAACCAAGCAGGTTACTGAGATTCTTGGTGAGGTGACTTTTCAGTAGAATCCAACGAATATGCACTCAAGACACACTTGATGAAGAAGGAAGAAAGTTGACATAAACTCTGGTTGATAACAATTATCCAGACAAGCTCATCAGGAGGTATAAAGTAGTCAGAACAACAAGACCCACTCTCCAACACGCCCCTAAGAAAGTCGTGTACATCAAGCTACCCTATATGGGGTATCACAGCAGCTTGATAACTAGAATGATGCTGTTAAAAAGACTTTTTATGCAGCTTTGATAATAATAATAATAACTGAGAATGTGAAGCCAATATATCCATCTAAGCCCTTAGAACATGCGAAAAATGATGTCACATCCCACTGCATTTACCAATTTGAATGTACGTGTTGACCCACATACATAGGGAAGACTCGTCGATCTCTGCAAGTAAGAGCTTCAGAGAATATTCCTAAGTGGCTCCAGAAGCAAAAAGAATCTTCAGAACCCATTAATGGTGAGAATACGATATCTCCATCCTCTATTGCGAAACATATTATAGTTACAGAATATAAAATTGACGTTTACACATCATTTAAACCCACCAATAAAACTTGTTTGGGGCGTATCCTAAGCTTTATGGATGCCCTAACTGGCAATAAGAAATTTTGAACCACCTTTATGTGTTCAAAAACAGCTCTTCATAACACTAAACCTTCCTTGGTAAACTTTGTTTGGATACAATCCAGGGTAGATGCACTATTACCTCTGTTATTTTGTTCAATGATCTTCATTCATATTTCGACCTTCAGTATGTCTTTTTAACTTGCGTTGAATCTATATTCTCACCTCTTAACTCTGTGTTAATTTCAAATATATTCCATTGACATGTCCGTGTATGATCAGATTGTTTTAAATGTGTTGTGCGAATAAATTATACGATTCAGACAAATTGCGTCTTCTTATTGCTATGTCTATAATAATGCCTCTAAAATAATTATAATTTTTCCGTCACGTTCACAGTGGAACATAGGGCTCCAAGCTAGTGGCTTGAAGTTTCTGTAGCAGTGTTTAATTTTTACAGGATGGTGTTGCTAGCCTCATGCCCAGCCATTCCTCTTTACCAGCATTATTTCTGGCTCAGTGAGGTAAAGGAGTGCGCCGGCCGGGGGTCGAACCCCGGACTATATGCATGGTCGGCAAACGTCCTAACCGCTATACCATCGACGCAAATAATGTCTCTGTTGACCATTAACTCGCTTGAGTATCAAACTTCCCGGAATTCTTCGGCACCTTATAATGTATCGTCTGTTCAAAATTTTCGCATTATCCCAATGAAACTTTTATTCATAATTATCTGTATGCATTGATATGAAAGAATATATCATGTCTTTTCACAGCTAATTTGTGTACTTGTACTCCGATTCGAAGGCGACGCCCATATATTTTGTTTCAGCCTAAATTTTATCAATAATCCTCACTTTTATTTCAAAAATCCTTTAGCTTTAAAGAACGTATATTACAGTAACAAAAATTCATCTAAGAGATTTAAACGGTTTAAAACCTTTCGGACAGACATTGCTTAAATAGCTTGGAAAAGCACAAATAAATCCGTGTAGTTCATCTTTTTGTCTTACTTCAAAGGTGGATGGAGATACTTCATCCACATGAGCAATTAATTTCAATATACGTGCTGAATTACATTTCCCATCAATACAATTTTCACTGTCATCCACATCATCACCAATCCAGAATTCCGTATTCATGTTGATATAACCAATATAAAGTAATGGATAAATAATCTTATCAAGATCTTTACTTTTACTTGCATTTTTAAGTAATTCCCCACCAGTATGCATAGTTCTACAACGTTCTTTAGCATTTTTATACGATAGTGTAACTGAAGCGTATAATGCATAAGAATACTTTTCCCCACTTCCTATATAATCACTTCCAGCTGGACTGAATTGTGGCAGATCCACACAGTATACAATAAAAAACATTCTCCATTGTAGTAGAAAGATTAGGAAAACAAAATATTCGAGATGCATAACTTTATTCAGAGAAGACTAGCTGTAGGGAAATTTTAAATTAAGAAAATCAATATCATTTGTATAGAGATTTATGTGTGTAGTAATTGGGTAGTGAATTAAGTGCTAAGAAGTCAAATTATAAAGTGTACGATACCGTTCTGTAACCACACATAACGCTGTAATAAACATGTGTGTGATTTAGGTGGTTGGAAGCAATCGGCCATAGGAAGCCTTCGACCTAAGTTTCGTGCCAGTAGGCACTCATCAGTCAGCAAGGCGTATCTGCAACCACATTGAAGGGACTAATGTCCCTTCTGAATTTCAAATTTGTGTCACCCACTTCTGCAGTCAGAGGCGTTACCACTGAGGCATTCGAACTTACTGCCGGCTAGGCGAGGCCTATGAGAGGAGAGAGAAATTTAAATTTCTAGAAAACAGGCTAAAGAATTTTAACCAGTTATATCTTTTGTTTTTCACAACTGCGTGTTGATTCTCTTGTTTAGTACACAGTGCAACGTTACAGAAGATAACCTATTGGACAGCTACTTGACTACGATTATAAAGCTTCATTTCAGACAATATATGAACAGAAATTACAGGAATTATCAGTGTTTGAAGTTGCAAAATATTTCCTCTTCATCCAGGATTTATATGCAAAGTAATTATCTGAAGTATGTAATGCGATGTAGCTTTGTTGCATATAAAGAGAGAAACATTTCTGTACACTTTACTTCGTTCCCTCCAAAAGTCGCAGTGTTTAGTGGGAAGCTGGTTAAATATGCTCACGAATTCATGCAGTGAACACCTGATATAACTGAATGATTGAAACAATAAGAAATGCAGAAGTGTGCAAGCATCTTGATGGACAGAAATTCTGGTATCCTAGTGGTTTAAGAAGGTTACCATGGAACTTCAAAACACGGAGACATGACTTATATGGTTCTCTTTCTTAATTTTATTCTCTTGTAAGATATGGCAGGAACTTTTCGATCCCTGGAACAGCTGACTACTGAATTCTGGTACAGATGTCCGGTGTTCACTCATTGGTGAAATATTCAGCTACTAGTCACACTTTTGAAGTAACAGTAGAATTAGGGCAATATGGCAGACTGGAATTCCATAACAGAATAATTTTCATAATTTGACATGAAGCATAATGATGAGACGTTAGTGACTAAATGACGAGTCGAGTACGTTATAATGCTCGTAATTATTTATTTGTAAATAGTAGACTTGTCAAGGCTTTATATATCACATCTACAGCCTCGACAGTACCGTTGTATGGGAAGGGGACGTAAGAGGTCCTTCATATGACTTTTTAATTAGGTTAAAATTGGGGTGTCATATAAACCAATTAAGTCAGTTGGAGCTACACTCTGCTGGCCTAGGGATTCAATAGGCCCAGTTAGGAGAAATAGTGCAGTTTAACAATTACCATATATTGAGTGATAAGCCAGTTAGATACTTGAAACCAGTAAATTGGGTCCGGTTAGGAGTCAGGATGCTGAAATTCATCTGGATGTAGAGTGACTGACCTTAGTAGAGCAAGCAATTTACAGACGACTCGGCCACTGCCATGAAATCTCACAATAGGGTGAGATAGGCTGAAATTATTGAAAAGTAATATATGCGCAGGGAGAGTTTGACCACCTTTTCAGCACCTGATTTGTGCAATAAAAATGACTTCCTACTCGGTCACATCGTGGAACTTGATTTCTTCTTTAAACTGGTTGTAAAACTGGAGAGTTAGTGTTATGTAAACGCATAGCTAGATAGGAGGGTGCTGTGTAAGAAGCTGGGACTGGTAACGTTCTCCAATAAATTAACATTCACTCATCAATGATACTGAAAAACTGGTGACCTGATATTTTAAATCATCCAATGAAATCGTCGTACACATTCAACCTAACATAAAATATTGACAAAACTTTTACTGTTGGTTTGATCTCCATTAGGAAGTTTAGACTGCCTGGCTGGAGTCCTCGAGAAACTCAGACTCAGTGGTTGAGGAATGCTGGTGAAGCGACGCAAAAGTTTTGTCAGTGGAACAGATTGATTCACTCCCTGTGATCCTTATTATTCCCTATGTAAAAGTCCTTTCTCTCATACACTGTCTTTGTATCCATTTAAAACTAATCATCCCTTTCAAGTGTTGGTTTTCGGAAATTTGATTGGTTTCAGGATTTCATCGTGAACTGACATCGGTTTGAGGACCACTGGGAAACATGGCAGAACTGGGGTACAGCTGGGCGGGTGTGCGGATAAATACTCGCTGATGACATTGGCTTATGGTCGCTCTATATCGTGTATTGGCAGAATTTGGAATTCATGGGCCATTTGGTCGGTCCCAGTGGCTCAATTGTCTACGAGCCCGCCTTGTATCTGGAAGGTCTTTGTTTTGAATTTCAGTGGGTAGGTGCTTTGAAGAGTTCCAAACTAGGGTGAAACAGTTGTCTAGAACTCCCAGGATTTTCAGTGGCCCTCTTACTGATGTCAGTTAATGATCAAATCCTGAAATAAACCATCCCTTTGATGAATTTGAGGTTCTTCTGAAGAATGTGACCTGTTTGTGCAGTACATTTAGGATAATATGATCAAACATTTTAAATCAATTTTTACGAAAAATGAAAGGCCAATTAAAACAGACAAATGATAAGAGAATAAAGAATAAGAGTGGTTAAATTTAGCACTACTTTTAGTTAGATAATCAGATTAGAATTATCAAGTTCGGTCCACTCACTTATCTTACCTTTGTGAGCGCTTTTATCAATACGGCTAATTAAAGTGGTGCACTTTTGTATTGTGTTCTACCCTAAAAATCCCGTTTAATTTACGAAAAACGTTGGTCTTTATACCTACGGAACTGTCTTTAACATTTCAAAATGACGTGTAAATAACCTTCTGGTATGTACAGCATGGAAATTTATAAAAACTTCCGTACTATCAAGTCAATTAACCTTTATGTCAAAATTTGTTTACAACGCTGTAATATCTCAAAATATGAAAGTTGAAGCTTTTAGCCCAGAAGTCCGATATATTACAGAATGTTTGCGATACTACTTGCTAGTAACGTAAATTTAAATAGATAATTTTCCCTTGATAAGTGTGAATATGCGATAAATGACGTCTTTGTATTTCTTTAATTTTAATCAACTGCATACCAATTAAAACGGCTAAATTATGGTTACACAAGCTTTCCAAATAATTTAAATGAACAGTTTAAAGATGGTTAGCTTCCATACTAGGTAAATGAATGAACTGATATGTGTGAGAAAGCTGGAGATGTCAATAAGACTGTTGGTGGATGTATATAAAGGTCATGAGAATGTTCTAGAACCAAGAACGGTAGTTGGACACTATTAGGTATGGTTAGCCTAGAAGACAGTTTCTTATCATCAACTACTGATGAGCTGGCTGGACTTATTCGTCACGTACTCTAGAAGTTACGTTTGGAATTTTTTTTGCCAATAATTTTTAATAAAATTGTATTATATGTTATCTAGATTGAGGGAAATTCCCACTTTTTGGCTGGTTATGTTGGTGTCCGCCTCATGTGATCTGACTGCGACACACTTTTAGCATATTGGTTGCAATGATTAGTGTTTCAGATGGAATGTATCAAAATGTCGGTGTAATGAGGGAGATAGGATAGTTAGAGGGTAATGCCATTTACACCACTCATTTACTCCATGTAGAAGCTGCATCTTTCGGCATAGTATCATTCAATGAAGACTTCATGTCTCAGGATATCAGTACAGCCTATTTTCGTGTGAAGAACAGTCTTTTTTGACAAAATAATTCTCTCAATACTTGGAAATCACCTGCAAATGTTATCAGAATCGTTGGTGGGAACCTAAGTTGTCATTTAGATGTGCTTTTCACTCTATCTGTGGTTGGACAGGAATTATGGTAAGTTGAAAGGTTATCTCTAAATGGATTTCATATATATTGGCACTGGTTGGTGCAGTGTGCTATGGGTTATGTTAATTAAATGTACAAAAATATCTCAACTATAATAATATTGTGCCATTGTGTACTAAGCTGACTGATAGGATAACAAACGAAGGTGGTTGTCACGATTATTGCAAGTACAGTGCAGTGGAGAAGGCAATTACTCGTTTAAGTTTCCTTGTTGTTCCAATTAATGCACTAAATCATTACACGGTATGATTATACGCATGAGTCGTGGTGATTACTAGAACTGAATCTATTCAGCTTTATTATCATCAATATGAATTTATTCTCCTTTACAATTTCCACTGACTGTATACTTAATGCTACAATATTTTTGATCACCAATAGTGGAGATGAATTTCTCCTGAGATTTCCATTTAGACAAAGCAGTACAGATGCTCTATGACGATTGAATTTTCTAGTTTGCATTATATGACATTATTATCCTCATCAACACAACAGGTCTGTGTACTTTACAATAGTTGAAGTGTTTCACTATGTTGTTAGCACTGTGCATAGCTGTCTAGAGTTGAGGCATGTTCAGCTTATATTTGATGCCTATAGTCTCCTAAATGTGAAAATGTGATTTCTGTAGGATTCACAAAACCTTGTGGACTAGACATTACTGAGATTGTGGATTAACTTCTAAGTTATACACTTGCAATACTTCATTTCATGTAAAAGTGTTTAGTGTGAAGTTGATCTGCAAGTAAGCTTGATGAGAGAATGACGCCTCAATAGTATGAATGTTTCGGAGATTGCCTTGAAATTTGCATATAGTCCTCAAATGCAGGAAAACATATGATGTATATTTATGTATACGGCGTCAACATAAATATCAGCTGTAGACTACAAATACATTTATCTCCTTGAGATAATACTTAGTTTTAACAGAATGATTGTATTCATATTGTATGCTAATATGTAGAATTATCTCTTGTTAACTTCATGTTATGCTAGTTCTAACATGTACTTTATTTTTTCCAGGTATACGGAGGTTGTCGAATATGAAATCA